CTAATTGGGCGCTATAGGGTCTGTATTTATATAATTTTAAGCCCGCATTAGGCTCGACGAGCCTATAAGCTTTAGGCATTGTAGTTTTGAGTTGATCTAGAGCCTAATTGAGCCTAGGATACAGGCATTACTAGTCTATTCGAGCAGAGCGGAGATCAGTTTTTATAGATCCCGACCAAATCCGACGAATAGCCTTACAGCGTATATACCCTAAAAGAGCCTACGAGGGCGTGTCTTTGATGATTGCCGGGCTGAAATTTAAGCGAATTTCCTCACCAAAACCATGCTTTATTCTATATGTTTATAAATATATAATAATTCAAATATTTATTATAAAATCTTGAAATTTGAAATGTATAAAGATATTTAATTAATAATTGATTTAATATTAAATTTATCAAATTTAGAATCAAATTAAAGATAAAATTCTATATAGAAATTTAATTCTTAAAATAAACATTATTTCTTATAGAAATTTTAAGCATAAAAAGTTTAATATAAATTTTGATTTAATTAAAAGCTTCAATAAAAAAACTAAAACTATGCTATTAAATTTTAAATAAAAATCTATTATTTTGTAAAATTTCAAATATATAATGATATTAATTGATTTAATATTGAATTCTAAAATGGGTGAGTTTTGGTGTGAAAAAGTGTTTGCGCACGGACCCGGCAATCATCAAAGACACGCCCTCGTACAATCTCTTTCAAAATGACCGCGACCTCCGTATCGATATATCGTTTATTTCGTTCAAAGTAAGCCCTGTAATAACCTTCGCGATGATTACAAATATTATCAAAATCAAGTTCGATACCTAGATTCAGGTAGCCACCTGTCATCAAACCACTACGAACAAACCATCACCAACAAACCATCAACTACAAACCATCACCAACATCCCATCAACCAGAAATCATCAATAACAACTTCCAATAATCATCGAGCGATAATATATCGTATCAATCCTTCATACACCAAGAACAATTTCTACCCTATTCTATAATCAGCTATTACACACTCGGAATATTCCGCCCTTCGGGAGTCCCAACATGCCAAAACTTCTTTATTATTACTAAAGCAGTATTGTCATCGCAAATTTTCTTTTACACACTACAGTATTATTAAGCTGTTAGGTATATAGTATTCTCATCCCCCCATCAAATTGAGAAAAATTCCTACTTCTTCTTATTCATTTCAGTGTAAGTTGCGTACAGTACAAAGTTTGCTGTATCGTCATTCTTTGGACTTGGCGTTTCTCCACATTACAATGTAAAATTCATACACCCCTTTTTCCTGTTAAGGATTAGATCTTCGAAGTAAGCGAAGTCTAGTATCACACCACACTATGTTCCATATTTAACATTTTTGCTACAGCAAAATCTCTTTATAAGGATCTCTCCTATAAGGATAACCTCTCTATAAGGATATATTTTTCGATCCCAAAAAAATTTAGGCTTAAAAAAGGCCTATATTCTTAAAACCTTTTTATTAGGATATTTTTATATTCTTCAGTCCCAAAATTATATATATCCTTAGTAGATTAATAAAATTATTAGAATTTAATAAATATATCTAGATTTTAGAAAGATTTTATTGAAACTCTAAAAATGTTACGGAATCTGTTTGATCAGAACTAATCGGAAAAAAATTATTATTATATCGAGATTAAGCGGAACCTCTATACAAGAATATCTTTATATGTCCTTAAAAAAGATTACAAAAACCGGTATCCATATAGAGAGGTTTTACTGTACCATACAACCCCTTCAAGAAATTAACCAAATCTCACAAAGCCATCAGTGGACCAAACTCCATCATGACTGGGTTTTCAAGAAAGGATAGTATTAACCAAGCCACCTTCTTCAATATTTCCGGCCCGTATCAGGACACCTCTTTTCCTGATCTATTACGTCAAAATGTCTACTTGACTCCAGCCCAAGATAAGTCTATAGGATATACTTATATGGATTCAAGACCTAGAACATCGTGTATTGACGACGAAATAGATTTCATTTACAGATACTTTCCCATAGGGATATTATCTGACTTGAATGTCTTGAAGGAATTAGAGGTTCGTCAAACCAATCTTCTTGCAATATCATTACTGATAAGTGTAGGACATACGAGAAGAATTACTACACCAAGGCTATGCCACTGAAGATGAACAATTTTCTACTGAAACCTACCTCGAAAAGAACGATGCCAAAATTATACCTGGGGTTGAATTGATTGTTAAGAGAATTGCTCGCGTTGGAACAACAATTCTAGAATCATGCTTGGATGAAAGAACCAGACAACGATTCCATAATAGAGCCATTGCCAAAGCATCCTTATGTGTTGGCCACGAGGAGAATAAATACACCAGCACCATCAAAATCAAACTCATCACTCCCAGCACACTCCCAAACCTCACCAGAGTACTTGAAGACGATCAAGCTCTCTTTACCATACGAAGTAAGTTCTCAAGTAAGTAAAACTATCCTAACTATATCTAACACATCCAGTAAACCTCGGTGTCGCTCAAGATGGACAATTCCCGGGTCGCATATGCCTACCGACTTTCAAAGAATACTGTACTTTGGAACCATTTACTGCGCTGGTATTCAAAAGAACAATACCCTTTTTCGAGATACAACAATCCACTTCAACACCTACCCATACCCCTTCCGAAATTACCACAAGCAGTCGAAATCAGAGAGGTCTCATAATCGAAATATCTCCAAATCAACGATTGATGAATTCTTCAAACTCATTGGGATACCCTAGAAGCATGCCACAACCCCTTACTGTCTTTGGCACATTCCAAAACTACAGTGAATGGTTATTCCGTCTTGCTATTGTTGAAAGCATCGGTCGTGAATCTAGAGGTAACTTTATTCCAGCAGATATTAGTCTCGAATCCATCGCCAAGTTATATGGTTATCAAATCGGTTCTACCACATTCCTACCACGAATCTCACTTGCAAATACAATTCTCCAATACCCGGACCTTGACTTGAACGATTGGAACACTTTTGCCAAACGTATAAAGGTCAGTAATATCACATCCGTTCCCATTATCATCTTGGCTAACCATGATGTAGGAACTTCATCTTAAGACTACTCCATCCCACCATGAAAATGATACGTCGTCGACAATCATTCTGCAACCAATATCATGGATTATCCAAACCGCCTCTTTGAATCCCTCCCAGAGACCAAACCCCAACGTCATAACATACACGGCAAAACAAGCAGCAAGCCTGCAGGGTACAGTTAATTCGACTTCAACTCTACCTGCTCCCAACAACAGGAACACCACTTCAATAATGCCTTCCAAACAAAGCAGTGTATCAGGAGAAGGAAGCCGGCATACCTCTCGTCCTAGTGGACCACCCCAAGAAATTCAAGTAGATCTTCCCCGGAAAGAAATTCATAGAGGTAGACGAGGAAATGAAGCTGTTGGGAATCAAGCTAGTGCCTTGCTTCAATCCTCTTCAACTTCAGGGCCTACGGCTAGCGCTTTGTCATCAAGAGAAAGTCTTCCTCAGTCTCAACCATCAGTTCCACTCGATCATGTTGAAGCCATGGACAACACAATCACACACTCACAAAAAAATACTGCAAGTGGTACCAGACAAACTGTTGCCCAAGAGTCACACACAAGCACAATGCCCTTGGGCGATCAGACCATTGGATCAGCTTCTGAAGGTAATGACGCCATGAATGACCCCAAATCTGCTCCTCTTGTTCGTCAGCCTTATGATGGATATAGTTTTACGCCACCAGAATGGGATCCCCTTAATGGATTGACGGCTGTTCTCAACAAACAAATTCTAAATCTTTTTGACATTGAAAAATTAAGAGAGGCAACCGGGGCTACATATCATGACCCTATTCAACCCATCGCAAATATAACTGATTTGCAGGAACAACTCAATATTCACATACAAGCTCTAGAAGAGAATCACTCCACTTTTAATGATTATTTTCACTTAGTGAGCCGCTCGGCCATATGTTCAATCATTCAACAGGCACCAAATTTGAAAAAAGAGGTTTACACTCAAATCGTAAAGTCTGATGAGAGGCAACGTCTTCGCTTTGGACTGTCCACAAAATCCATGGAAGCGGATATCTTTTGGAAGGACTTCTTCGATAGAAATGCATTAGTTTGCCAGATGTCCCTTCATGTTGGTACACCTATCCTCCTTGCCCCAGGTTTTTATGCTCTCGTCTTGACTGCCGGTGGTAATAGTTCGGGTAGTAATTCCCTGGTCCGCTCACCTCTTCAACCTGCAATGAGGAATAGAATTGTTGAAGCTTGCTTATGGCATTCAAGAAGTCATCCAATTTATATGAATGAATTGAAATCTTTTTGGGAGTCATCATTTGCGAAATTTGATTCTTATTCAAACGAATCAAAGATAATAAAGTTACCTCAAAATATTTCACTCATCATTCCATCTATTGGATCTTGTTTTCCCAAACATTTCACTGTTCTTCATGAAATCATTACTCATACTGTCAATTCATTACAGTCTGAAAATAAAAATGAAGATATCATTTGGGGTCGACCTTACGAAACTGATCGTCTAGGTTATATAAGGGTCTTGGAGGTTAGCTCTTATAATAAGAAGGAATAGTATTATTATAAGGATAGTGAAAGATCTAGTTAGTTTAAGCTGTAGGGATAAATCAAATATATAGAATAAAAGTTGAATTGAAGTCAATTTAGAAGAACTAGATTAAATTGAAATGAAATTGCTTGCTTTTTCCTAGAATTCCTTTAAAGAATATTCTAGATTTATATAGTTTATAATGAAATTCTAGTATATTCTATACTTATAAATAAAATCAATTTAAATTGTATCTTATAAAATCACTTTAGATAATAAAAAGAAAGTATAACCAATCAATTTAGCGAGATTTTCTGTATACTTTTATTTAATTCTATTTCATTTTATTTTATTATAAATTAATTTGATAAGAGATACTATTATTAACTATATAATAATATGATTTTATAATATAAGATTATATTATATATGTATTAGTTATCAATATATCCCTTATTTGATAAGATATTAGTAAGTAATTTAATGGATTTATTATAAATCCTTATATATTCCTTTAATAGGTATACTAAATCAATTCTATTATATATCTTAATTCAGATTAATCTGATTTATAAATTCAATTAATTTAATTCGAGTTAATGATTTAGTAAACCTATCAGCTTTCTGTTTATTAATAGATATATAAATTAGGTTTAAATCCTTTAATTTAATAATATCCTTAATATAATAGAATTTGATTATTATATATTTACTCCTTTTGTAGAATATAGGATTTTTAGTAAGTGTTAGTATAGCCTGATTATTTGTATATAAAGAAAATTTATTCTATTTATATAGATTAAGCTTTAATAATAGTTTTTTAATATAAATGGTTTTTTTAGTAATTAGATTTATAATAATGAATTCAGATTCGGTTGTAGAAAGGATTATTACTAATTATAATTTAGATTTCCAATTAATAAGTCTATTTCCTAATATAAATATATATCTGCTAATAGATTTATATATATTAATTTCCCCTCTATAATTAGTATTATAGAATTTTTGAATATAAGGATTTTTAATTTTAATATAATTTGTATCTTTATTTATAGTTCTTTTCAAGTATCTCAATATTCTTTTAGTAATTTAAATATATTTTATATTAGGATTGAATAAGAAACTAATTAATCTAGATATAGAAAATATTATATTTAATCTAATTCTGAAAATTAAATATAATAAAGAGTCTATAATTTCTTGATATAATTTAATATCATTATTATTAGCTTTCTTTTTATTATAAAGTAGCTTTATTTTTGGGTTTATTGAAATGGAAATAGAATTAGAATCTAGTATATTGAATTTAGCAAGTATCTTTTTAGTATATTCTGATTGATATAATTTTAGTATATTATTAGTTCTTTTAATTTAAATGTTTAGATAGTTCTTTATAGGATCTAGATCCTTTAAATCAAAGTGTTCCTTTAGATTATTAATAAATTTATTAATAATTTTTTGATTTGGGATTATTATAGTAATATCATTAATATATATATTTAGAATTATATTCTTATTCTTATTAATAAAAATAGATTTTTTGAAAATTAGATTTATAAAGCCTAATTTATTTAATATATCTTTTAAAGTATAATATTATATTCTGACTGATTGTTTTAGGCTATATAAAGCTTTATTTAGTTTTAAAGCTTTATTCTTTAATTTACTAAATTCTTTTAATAGATTTAATAAAAGTAGTATATCAATATTGTCTTATATAAATACTAATATTATATCGATTTTATAAATTAACTAATTGTTTTAAAGAGTTAATATAAATAAGAGCTTTTATACTATTGATTTAACTATCAATATATATATATTAATATAATTTAATTTATATAGTTATTTGAATCCTTTAATAACAAATCTAGCTTTGAATTTAATATATTTATCTAAATCCTTTATTTTATATACCTATTTAATCCTTAGGGTTTTATTATTATTAGGATTATCAATAATATTTTAAGTTTTATTAGATTTAAAAGTATTTATTTTGTATTTTATAGCTTTTAGTTAGTATTTCTTTTTCAAAAAGCTAATAGTTTTTTTATAAGTTTTAGATTCAATCAATATATAATCTAGTTTATTAATAATAATCTTTTTATTATTTTTAAACTTAGTATCGAAAGCTAATTGAAGATTTTATTAATTTATTTCGATATTTATCTCCTTATTGATTAAATTAAAGTATTTGGAAAAAGTAAGTCTATAATAGGAAATTATATATTTTCTATTTTTATCAAAACCTTCATTATCAGGAATTAGATTTTTTATATACTTAGATTGCTGTATATTAGGTTTATTAAGTATAGATTTACTGGATATAGATTTATCGAAATCGATTTTTATATAATTAATTGTTTTATTATTTTTATTATTTTTGTTTATTTTGGGATTAGCTTGATATTTATTGATATTAATAATATTTTCATTCTTTATATTATCCTAAATAAGTTCAAATTCAAGGTTTTCTTTTTTTAATAACTTTAAATCCTGATTTTTATATTTATTAGAATATATAAGATCTTTTTAAATATCGATATTTTTTGAATCAATTATTCTCTTATTAGTTGGAATATAGATTAAATAATTATTAAATGAATTAAAGCTTACTAGTATACCTTTCCAAATTCTAGAATTTAGTTTTTTATTACGAATCTTTTTATTATTAATAATATAAATAAGAAAACTTAGGATTTTAATATAGCTTAAATTAGACTTTTTATTTTGTATTAATTTAAATAATGAATTATTAATAAAACTATTATATATTCTATTCTTAATATAAATAATAGCTTTAACTAGGTATGGCTATAAATAGAATAGAATCTTTTTCTTTTTAATTATACAGATTAGTTTTTTAATTATATATTTATTTAATATCTTGATTATTCTATTTTAAAAATAAGTATATAAATTAATATATTTATAAATAATCCTGTAATTTCGAATAAAATCTGATTATTTATTTGAAAGGAATTTAAGAGTATTATTTAATCTTAGTATTTTAATATTAATATTAAACTGATTTTTAATTAGATTATAAAACTTTATTAGAATATCATAGATTTGGGATTTGAATTTAATAAGATATATCTAGACAGTTCTAGTAATTCAATTGGTGAATACTAGAAAGTATTTTTCATCTTTAATTCTTATAATTCTAAAAGATCTAGTTATATCTAAACTGAATTTTTCGAATTTAAAATTTATTTCAAAAACTTTTGAGAATTCTTTATTTATTTTTTAATAGAATTTACTGAATTTGTATGATTTATATATCTCTAAATCAGATTTAGTTATATTTAATTGAATATTTAAGGATTTAATAATATAATTCTTATTTATATAATTTAATCTCTTATAAATTAGGTTGAGATTGATTTTATTTAATAATAAATTCAATTCTTAAATTGATTTCTTTTTTATTTTAAGGATATTGATACTTTTAAGATGTTTAGAATCTATCTTAAAATTAAGATAATATATATTAATTAATTAGAAAGCTATAATTTATATATTAATCTTTTTATAAATAATATTAATCTTGTTTTTTAAAGAAATAATATAATTAGATTATTCTTTTTGGACTATTTTATTCGAATTAATAAGATTAAAGGTTATATTAGGAATATAATATATTCTTTATAATAATATCTCTAATTTATTATTAATTAGAATAGAAATATCTTTTATATTATTAATATAAAACTTTTTCCTATTAATTATAATAATAGAATAGTTATTTAATGGCTTATAATTTGTAAATTATTTTCTATTAAATAAATAATACTTTATAATACTCGAATCTAATATAAATTTATATTTAAATTTAAAAGATTGATTAGCTAAGCCTATATAATAATTTACAGCCATTAATTATTTACTAAAAATAGATTTATTCAAATCTTTTTTTAAATCTTTATTTGAATTTCTATTTGAATTTGATTTAAATTGCTTTTTATTATTTTTTTTATTAGTCTTTAATTCAGAATATTTTATAAAGTATTTCGATTCTAAATACTTCTTTTTAAAGTAATATTTACAATAAAAAGTTTTATTAAAACTTATTTTATTAGCATTTAAATTAATATTAAATTATATTCTAACCTTTTTGAATATTAATTTGAAAAAGAGTTTATTCAAATCAATACTAGCTATATTTTTAACTAATTCTTTATATTTTCAAAAAGCAAAATTATTAAAAGAGCTAAATAGACTTTTAAAAAGAAATCATATTATAAAGGTATTTGAAATATCGAAATTCATTGATTTTAGATAATTATATAATAATTAAATCGAATTAGTATATTTATTCATTCCTTTTGAGTTAATATAATTAAATTCTATTAGTCTATTTAGATATCTTTCTATTAATTTAATAGAGAATTTTCTAAATATCTTATTAATAAAATCCTATAGGCTTTTAATTATAGTTTTCTTAAATCTTTCAATTAATTTGAAGTTAATTATAGATTTAATAGCTTCTAATGCTTTTCTTTTATTTCTCTAATATTCTGAAAGTCTTTCATTATATTTTATAATTAATTTAGTTGAAATAGGTTTTTCTGATTCGTTTACATATAGACTTTTATTAGATAAAACCTTAGTACCATCGATATATGATATAAAGCTATTTATTTCAAGAAAAAGCTTAGCTCAATTAATTTATTTGATATAATTAAATCTGTTTTTTAGAGGATTAGATTTAAAATTAATATCAAAAGCTATTTTAAATTCTTTATAAACTAATTAATCTTATACTAATTAAATATTAATCTAAATATATAGCTAATTTCGAGTTTGGATGAATTAAATAAATAAATCGATTTAAAATTGATTTTAATCTCAAGGATTGAATAAACCAGTTATTTTTTAAATTAGCTTTTTATTTTATTTAGTATAAAATAAAGATTAAATAAAT